CCACTGAGTTCTCGGTGTTCAGCAGGTGATAGCTTATGTAGTCCAAAAGTAAGCTCGAGAAGTAAACCCTGCTCTACCCATTTCACAGATGAAGAAACTGACGCTCAGAGAGGATAATATTTGCCCACAGTCCCTTTGCTCAGGAAGTGGCAAAACTGGCCCTGGATCCCAGGCTTCTGGCTCTACCCTGCTATTCTACACCAGAACGTTCACTGTGCACACCCTTTGTGGTAGACATTTCACCCCTGGGAGTTAACCTTAAAGAGTTAATTAGGAAAATGCACTGAACTGCACACACAAGCACATCGCTCTCTGTGTCAACCATGACAACATGGGGACCATCTCACTGCTCACCCATAGGATGTCCACTGGCTCAGTGGTGCTACTTGCACAAAACAGAATGCTATGCAACCATTAAAAAGTGCGATGTGTATTTATATTCACTGATATGGAAAGATTTCGACAACATATTGTTGAGTGGAAAAGCAGGTTGCAAAACAGCATGCATAGTACGATCCCATTTAGGTAAAATTATATATATATCACTCAAGAGCAGAGCAAACGCTCGCCACCATGCTCAAGGGTATTATCTGGAGATGGGGAGAGGCCAGAGGATTTGTCTTTTCTCCTTTTTCCTCCTTGTGCTGTTTGGATTGTGTGCAGTGAGCATATATTATCTTTGCAAGCAGAAAAGGCAATTGTAAAAAAGGCTCCTCCTGGCTTGGATCTCCGGGTGCTTTGTTCAGCGCCCCCTCTAACGAGAACCTACTGAGTGCTGGGCTCAGGAGACTCGGAAGGGAAATACTCCTGGAAGGCAGCAAAGAGCAGAGACCTGGATGTGTGTGCCCGATTGGCCAGAGGCAGAGAGGCCCAGAGAAGAGGGGCCAGCAGCGGGAGAGACGAGGAAGCAGACACCAGGTACTTGGTATGGGCGCCATGCCTTGGCTCCCAGGTTGGCTAATGCTGTCCTGTTAATGAAGTGAGTGATTAATAGGCGAGGGGATAGAGAGCTGGTATATGAGATTAATCCCAGTTAATGAATCCATTGTTAGCGGCATTAAATAGCAACAGGGGGGAGGGGGAAGCAGCCTCCTCGCTGCTCTCCTGCATCCAGGCCTGTGCAGGCTCTGCAGCCCCCAGACCCCCCAGGAGGGAGGCCCCTGGCATGAGAGTGGAGAGAAGGAGGCAGAGAGAGGGGCACAAGTCGCCCAGGACTTCAACCCAGGGCTTTCCCACCGTCCTCTGCTCACGTCACCATTCAGCCTTTTTTTTTTTTTGACAGGCAGAGTGGATAGTGAGAGAGAGAGACAGAGAGAAAGGTCTTCCTTTGCCGTTGGTTCACCCTCCAATGGCCGCCGCGGCCAGCACGCTGCAGCCAGCACACCGCGCTGATCCGAAGGCAGGAGCCAGGTGCTTCTCCTGGTCTCCCATGGGATGCAGGGCCCAAGTACTTGGGCCATCCTTCACTGCACTCCCTGGCCACAGCAGAGAGCTGGCCTGGAAGAGGGGCAACCGGGACAGAATCCGGCACCCCGACCGGGACTAGAAACTGGTGTGCCAGCACTGCTAGGCGGAGGATTAGCCTAGTGAGCCGCAGTGCCGGCCACCATTCAGCCTTAACGGTATGGTATCGTCACTTTGACAGGCAGAGTTAGACAGTGAGAGAGAGAGACAGAGAGAAAGGTCTTCCTTCCGTTAATTCACCCCCCAAATGGCTGTTACGGCTGGCGCACAGTGCCGATCCAAAGCCAGGAGCTTCTTCCTGGTCTCCCATGCGGTTGCAGGGCCCAAGTACTTGGCCATCCTCCACTGCCCTCCTGGGGCCACAGCAGAGAGCTGGACTGGAAGAGGAGCAACCGGGACTAGAACCCGGGTGCCGGCGCCGCAGGCGGAGGATTAGCCTAGTGAGCTGTGGTGCCGGCCGATCGTCACTCCATTTCCCTGGACCATGGAGGTGACAGCTTGCCCCTGCCCCTGGCCCTTGTGTCTTACCTGCCTGATTCCAGACCAGGGGGAGCTGAGTGAGGAGGCCTGGGGAGGAGGAGGAGGGGGATGGGGAAACCACCCCGGGTCGCTGGAGTCAGGGGCAAGAGGAGCTGTCCATGCGCCAAGGCGGGAAGGGCCCTGTGACAGCCCGGGGCACTGGGAGGAGGGCGGGAGCCCGGGCGCGGGGCTGTGCTGTAGCTGCTCGGTGCTGTGGGGGACCGGGCGTCAGGTTCCAGAATGCAGGTGTCCGTCTGCCCGGCTGCTTCTCCCTCATTCCAGACTGGAGCCATCCGGGTGGGCGGAGGCCCGGCTCCCTCCTGCCTGCCCTGATGCCCCTCCACACACACCCAGGGGCGGCAGTAACATTTTCCGAAGCCCAGCCTGTCCAGCTACAATGTTAGCTGAAAACCTGTTCTGTGGTTCAGTCGGCACACCAGCCCCGAGTGATCAGTGTGGTTGTGCCTGGGGTACAGGTGAAGAGACTGAGAATCAGGGACAGATCCCGTCTCCCCCCAGCAGTGGGAGAACCTGGCCCTGAGACCACTTCCACCTGGCTCCAAAGGCGGCACTGTGGCTGCCAGCCTTCCTTCTCCGGGACCATTAGTGGCCACAGCGTGGTCTCCACACCAGCCACGGCCACAGCACACCTGGGTCCCGCACAGACCTCCCCGGGGTGGGTCAGGTGATCGATCGCTTTCCCATCCTGAGCTTCCCTCTGTGGATGACAGAGAGAGTGCTGGGGCAAGGCCAGGCCTAGGACTCCTCCTCCCGGGGCCTGCGGTGCCACTGCACCCCAGGGTCCTCTTTTCTCCTCCCTCTGCTCTCCGGTTCTAGGTGATGTCACCCACGGCGGCGGCTGTAGACAGCATCCCTGTGCTGACAGCTTCCCGGTGCTCATTCCCCGTCCTGACGGCTCCCCTGAACTCCCGGCTCATCCATCCAGCTGCTGCCTGACACCGCCACTTGCACGCCTAAAGCCATCTCAGCATTACAGGGAGGCTGCGGGGCCTGCGCCTGCTCCTCCCCCCGCCCTGTCTCAGCAAGCGGCAGAGACGTCCACCCCACCATTCAGGCCCAGAGTCTGCGACTACAGACAACCCTTGATCTCATGGCCCGCGTTCACCCCAACGGAAACCCCTGTTGGCTCTATGTTGACATCCATCTTGGAGCTGACTGCTGTTTCCCACCTGCATGGTTGTCACCGTGCTCCAAACTGTCTTTCTCCTCTCGCCTGGATGTGAGAATTAACCCCAGGCCCCCACTGCTCCCTACAGTCAAATCTGCACTCTGAGACCAGAGGGATCTTTTAAAACCTAAATCTGAGCTCATGTCACTCTCCTGGCTAAACCCTTCCAGCGGCTTCCCCACACCTGCAGAGCTAAACCCCATCTTTGCCTTGACCTCCAAAGTCCCACACAGTCTACGTCCCCAACCCCCTCTCCTCTCCAGCCTCATCCGCTCTCCCCACACCAGCCTGCCGCACCACAGCCGCACATGCCTTCCTGCTACCCTTGATGAAAGCAAGCCTGCTCCCACCTCAGAGCCTTTGCACAGGCTGTGGACTCTGCTCAGAATGGTCACATCATGGCTTCATTTAGTCCTCTGCTTAAAGTCAGAGCAGGCGCCGGCGCTGTGGCGTAGTAGGCTAAGCCTCCAGCTGTGGCACCAGCATCCCTAATGGGTATCAGTTTGTGCCCTGGCTCTCCTCTTCTGATCCAGCTTTCTTCCAGTGCACCTGGAAAAGCAGTGGAAGATGGTCCAGGTGCTTGGGCTCCCGCACCCACGTGGGAGACCTGGAAGAAGCCCCTGGCTCCTGGCTGCGGATTGGCGCAGCTCCGGCCATTGCAGCCATTTAGGGAGTGAAACAGCGGAGGGAAGACCTCTCTCTCTCTCTCTCTCTCTCTCTCTTTCTCTCTCTCCCTCTGTCTGTCTGTAACTCTACCTCTCAAATAAATAAAATATTAAAAAAAAAAAAGTCAGGGCAGCCTGTCGTCTGGCCTCCCGAGGCTCTCACTGTCACCTGCTGTTATATCACGGGCTGATCATGTTTGCTGCCTGTCTCCCCTACTTGCTCGTGAGCTCTGGGGGGCAGGGACACTTCAATCACTCAGCAGCTAGAACGAGACCTCCCATAGTCGCTGCTCTGTCCGTGTTTGCTGAGTGAATGAATAGATGCGTAGAAACTTGTTTCCTTACCTGTAAAACAGGCCCGCTGCTCTGGTAGTGAACCTGTGAGGACGGAACCCTTGTGGTAAATACCTCGCTTGTGATCAGCATTATGTGGACCCCAAATGAAGGGTTTGGTCATTTTTAGTTCTTATTTTCCTTCCTTTGCTTAAGAGTCCATGCTGGGGCTGGTGCTGCGGCACAGCCGGTAAAACCGCCACCTACGACCCACATGGGTGCCGGTTCGAGTCCCGGCTGCTCCTGCTCTGATCCAACTCCCTGTTGATGGCCTGGGAGGGCAATAGAAGATGACTCAAGTCCTTGGGGCCCTGCACCCACGTGGGAGACCAGGAAGAAGCTCCTGGCTCTGGCTTTGGACCGGCCCAGCTCTGGCCATTGTGGCCATTTGGGGAGTGAACCAGTAGATGGAAGACCTCTCTCTCGCTCTCTGTCTCCCTCTCTCTGTGTGCAACTCTGCCTTTTAAATAAATAAAATAAATCTTAAGGGGAAAACAAGGAGTCCACGCTGCTCCTGGTATCTCTGAGCGTCTTGAGTGTGACCTTAGCCTGGCCCGGCTGGTCGCGGTCCGACCAGGGCTCGCCCAACGTTGGCAACCGGCCCGACGGTAGGTCTGTTGTCTCAGTGTCCTCTGGGAGCACGTGCCGGTAGGCAGGCATCTCCGTAGCATCCTGCAGCTTCCCCTGCCGCCGCCACACTCTGCACAGCCAGCGCGGGAGGTGCCTTCTGGCGAGTCCCTTACAGCCGAGGGCCTGGCCTGGCAGACATTTACCCAGCTCGTGGCCTCGGGAGGCCGCCAAGGTGGGAACAAGCTTCATGCAGCTGAAGCTCACTCTGCGGCCCTCCTGCTCCAGGCTCTCTCTCTCGCCCTGTGGCACACACCTCCTCGCTTCCCAGCATGCACCAGGGCTTGGGTTGCCCTCCCTCTGCTTCAGGTCTCTCCCTTCTACTTACATGCTGAGATCCAGCTCACCTTCCTCCTCCTCCTGGAAGTCCTCCTGGGTATCTCTCTCCCATGTCTCTCTGATGTTGGGTTCCTCTAGCTCTTGCCCTGTTCTCCATCTCCTGTGTGATCCTCCTATGAACAATAACGATAGTGACACATCATCTTTAAATTGCACTTGCTAGAGACAAACAGATCAGAGAATACAGAGGAAAAACCAAAGCTCTCCTTCACGGGACAGGAATTTGATATAGTCGTTAAGACGCCACTCGGGGGCTGGCGTTGTGGCATGCTGGGTTAAGCTGTGACTTGTGACATCAGCAGCCCATAATGGAGTTCTGGGAGTCTCAGCTGCTCGTTTCTGATCCAACTTCCTGCTAATGCACCTGAGAAAGCCACAGATGATGGCCCAAGTCCTTGCCCCCTGCTATCCATGTGGGACACCTGGATAGAGTTCCAGGCTCCTGGCTTTGGCCTGGCCCAACCCAGGCTGGTGTGGCCATTTGGGGAGTAAATCAGTGGGTAGGTGATATCTCTGTCTGCCCCCTGCCTTTCAAATAAATAAATTTTTTAAAGAGAGAAATGTCACTTGAAATGCCTGCATCCCATAACTGAGTACCCAGGTGGGAGTCCTGAATTGGCTCTGGATCCAGCTTCCTGCTAGTTGCACACCCTTGGAGATAGCAAGTGATGGCTCATGACTTGGGTCCCTGCCCCCCACATCAGAGACCCAAATTGAGTTCCAGACTTCTGGCTTTGGCCTGGCCCAGCCCAAGCCATTGTGAGCTTTTGGGGAGTGAACCAGCAAATGGAAGATCTCTGACCATCTCTCTTTCTCTCTCTCTTTCTCTCAATGCCTTTCAAATAGGTAAATAACAAAGTACCCCTTCCACTGCCTCCATCTCCAACCCCATTCCCTGCAGTGTCCACTGTCAACTGACCACTTGCAATCCCTTCAATGCATTTACCCACCCACACCCTCACGTGCTTGAAACAAAGCTTAGTAGCAGGATCCTCTTGCACTGAGGCTTCAACTTGATTTTTGTTGCTCAGCTGTCAGGCTATGGTGGCTCCGTGATGCATTTCACCAGCTCTCTGTTGGGGGACATTAGGGCTGCTTCCAGAACACCCTGCCACAAAGGGCGTGTGTGTTTCTATAAGGGAGAGAAGGAGAAGTGGAGTCAGAACCACAGCACACAGACCCCGGAGTCCGGAAGGTACAAAGCATGATGGGAGCCCCGGGGAGTCTGCGCCCTTCGGGAGTCCCAGGCGGGAGTAGCAGTGCCCTGGCCCAGGTGGAGACTGGCATTCAGCCCCAGCCCGCCGCCCTCAGGGCTCCTGCTCTAGCTGCTCCTCCTGCGCTGACAACACAGGTCTCCAGACCCTGGGAGCAGCCTCGGGCGTGGGCGGGCGCAGCTCCTGAGTTGGGAGTCCCGGTGGGGCCTGAGGAGTAACCTGGGCGGGGAGTGTAGAGGTGAGGGCACTTGGGTGGGGGGGAGCCAGGTTCAAAAGCCCGAGGAGGGGCTTTCTTCCCACTCCTTGCACGGCTCAGAGGAGCCTGGGCTCAGGCTGAGAAGCAGGGCTGCTCTGTTGCCATGGAAACGGAGGGTTCCTCTCTCCCTCACAGCAGGAATCACAGTGATTGGGGGTGGGGGTGGGAGGAGGACGTTTCCCTGGCAGCACCAAGGGTTGGGGCTGGGGGCTGGTCACTCCCTCCTCCTCCCGTCCCTCCCGTACCCTCCCTCACCCCAGTGCTGAGAGCAGCAGCAGGCGGGAGCATCCGTGGTGGTGCTGGTCGACCAGGGAGGGAGATCCAGCCTGTTGGTGGGGGTGGGGGTGGGGGGTAGCTGGGGCTCCCCAGGGAAGCTGCAGAGGGTCCTCCTTCCAGACACCCCACTCATCAGGGGCATTTGTAGCTCCAACACTCTCACAGGACATACTCTTCCTTTCACTGTCACTCAGTCACACAGTCAGCCCCACACTCCAGCCCAGCACGCCCAAGCTTCCCCAAGGCACACGTGCGCAGGAACTTCTTACACATACATACACACACACACACACACACAGCCCACTGCTCACATGCGGAGTCACGCACTGATGTGCTCATCCAGTGACAGGTTCGCACGCTCATTCATACGCAGTCACACCCACACGCCCACGCCACATGCACCTGCTACCTGATGCACATGCGTGATCACAGAGTCCTGTGCGCGTGCAAACACGCGTGCACACACGCACCGCTCCCTTGGCCTCCGTCAGTGAATGTCAAGGCTTTGGGAGTGCTTCCCCTTCAAATCCACTCTGACCCCTCCCCTCCCCCTTCTTCCCGCCCTCAGCCTGTCCTTGGCGGGAGCCCTGCCCTCTAGGCTCAGCTCTGGAAGGAGATGCTGTCACTTCCAAGGGAGCCGCTTCTCAGATGCGGGCAGGGCTCCGCGCGGAGAGAACGGGCAGAGCTAAGATGGGGGAAGAGGAGCCCCGGGCTTCACGCCCTGCCCTCCCCGGCAGGATGCTCCTGCCTAATCCTGCACTGGATTTCACAGCAGCGAAAGCGGCCCCCTCCCCAGGCAAAACAGACAAAGGCCTCCTACAAGCTTGCCACCACGGGTGAAATTGTGACTACCCAAATAACCGTGGTTCATAATAATAGGCAGCTAAGGAGCTGTTTACTGAGGGCTTGAGCGTCGGTAAAGCCCACAGATGCCTTCCACCAACCTCCCAGGTAGGGAACGTTGCAGCCATTGCACAGAGAAGAAAACCGGAGCCCAGAGCGCTCATTGGCTGCTGAGTGATGGAGCTGGGCCTCGGCAGCCGGTCTGCTGGACCCAACAAGGCCCAGCCAAAGCCCTAGCCTTGGGTTGCCACGGTGGCTCCTTGGGCTGGAGATCCGTGTCTGCACTCTTCCTCCTCCTTTTACTCGCCACTCTTCCCATCCCAAGTCGTCCCAGCCCCAGGTGCAAATCCAGTCTCTTGCAGTTCTGCTTCCCTCACTCCAGCCAGGCCCAAGAGGCTGCTTGGTTCAACGGCAATGGCTCACCCAGGTATGACCCTGCACACGGCCCACCCAGGTGTGAAGCTGCACACGGCCCACCCAGGTGTGAAGCTGCACACAGCCCACCCAGGTATGACTCTGCACACGGCCCACCCAGGTGTGACGCTGCACATAGCCCACCAGGTGTGATGCTGCACACAGCCCACCCAGGTGTGATGCTGCACACAGCCCACCCAGGTGTGACGCTGCACACGGCCCACCCAGGTGTGATGCTGCACACGGCCCACCCAGGTGTGATGCTGCACAGGGCTTAGCTCATCCCGAAGAGGACTTGTACTCTCATCACTGTCCCCTACCCACCGCCACATGGCGATCACCACCTCCTGCCTTCTTGAAGACAATGTTCCCTTTAAAAACAATAATGTTACTTGAAAAAAGTTGAAGGACTCACCAGACTCTGTGGGCTCCCTGATTTTTTTCCCTTCAGATAAAAGGGCCTGAGAATGAGTGACTGCCTACAAATCTAATCCAACCCTTTATTCTCCCAGACTGGAAACATGGAGTCGAGGAGAGGCTTAACTTGGTCAGAGAATCAGCTTCATTTGTGAGTTGCACAGACTCCGGGTTCAAAACACCTGGCTCAAAGCCAGCCAGCTGCTATGTCGCCACCATTGGGCAAGCTACTGACCTTGGGGAGCCTGTTTCCTCATCTGTGGGATGGGTTGATCTGAGAATCAAAGAAGATACTGCATGGTTATCACCTTGAAACTAAAATGCTGCCAAGCGGTGGCTGCCACGTAACCAACCTGAAGAAGCACGGGTCAGGGGCCTGGCCTCCCCACTGCGTTCCCCCACTGAGTTCCCAGCTGCCGTGGGGCGCTGGAGTGGGACTAGGGTGAGCTGCGGAGTCAGAACCTTGGTTCAAACCCCGGCCCTACCACTCAGAGCTGTGCAACCATGGGAAGAGTAGCTCACGGCCTCAGTGGTTCTTCATCTGAAAACTGGGTACTGTAATCATGAATGATGGGATTGAAGGAGGTACTCTGCCGGAAGGGACCCCACAGGTCCTCGCCCGCAGCTGGCTGACAGTGAGAGCTTCCCCCGGCTCCCCGCTCCGTCCCATCTTGCCTCCAGTTGTGGCTGATCTCCTATCTCCCTTGAAGGAGGATTTGGTTTTGGGAAGCGCCCAAGGTCACTGGGAGGCCCTCTGAGCAGGGAGGTGACAGTTACCCAGTTACAGCCCAGGGAGCTCTCCCTTTGGATGTGCAGATGGTTCCAGCTCTGGCTGGGGCAGGTAGCAGCTCCCAGTGGGTGGCCCCTTCCGGGGGCCATGGAGGGAAGGGGGTCTGCACCTCCTGGGGCACAGTGGTCCTGCATCAGCAGCTCCGAGGGGTGGCCCTGGCCGGAGTGACTGCCTCTCATTCTTGCCAAGCCAGATGTCAGAGCCAGAATGACACATCATCCCGTCCACTCCCCCAGGCTTTATAAATGAGAGCGCTGAAGCCTTTCCCTCCCCTGATGGGCAGAAGAGATGCTTCCAGTGCAACTTAGAGTGTCCCAAAGTGACCTTGGTGATATCCAGCCAGCCCTCACTTCCTTGCCCACCCCACTTTAGAGATACAGAAATGGAAGGCCAAGGAGAGAGAAGCCATGAGCCCAAAGAAGTGGCAGAGCTGCCCACACAGCAGCCAAGTCTCCTGCACCTTGCCCCATAGACATCTACCGCCCCGAGAGCCAGCTCCGTGTATAAGGAGTAACTGGCTGCTCTCTCAGCCTTTCCTAGGGCCACAGGGGTGGGGGAGCAAGGGCAGGCCCAAGAAGAAGTGCTGGAGTAGGACAAGTCCCCATGAGAAGGGACAGACCAAAGTCAAGGGGGTGGCACTCCCTGCTTGGAGCAGAGTCCTGCCAAGGTGCGTGTCATCAGCGGAGGCCACTTAGATGGCTGCTGTGTCCCTAGCTCCCAGGCAAACCCCTCCCACCTGGCCTTCCCTTCCTCATCTGTGAAAGAGACTGGACATTGCACTGTTTGCACCCCAGTTTTTCATCCCTCAGGGTCCGGCTGCAGGATCTGATGGCCAGAGTTACCAGGGTGCCCTGAGCCACTGCCTCCCACACTGCCCCTTGGAAGAACAGCAGGGCTCACTGGCCACACGTGTTTACCACAAACTCCCACTTTGTTCATTTCCGTCATCATCATTGCTCCTCAGCCTCCCCCAAATCAGCCAACCCCCTTTGGCAGCAGGTGTCGGGGGCTCAGCCTAGGAAAGCTGCGCCACCTAGGGGCACTTGGTCTCCACTGCAGAGTGGAAGAGAAGATTCAGGGGCTCCCTTTTCCTATCAGACCTCGCACCTGACCCTTACTTGTTTTCCCACCCTCACTGGCACCTTGAGAAAAGATTCTGAAGACAGGGAAACGGAGAAGGTCAAGTTCAGGACTCCTGATCCCAGAAAGCTTTTTCTTTTTCCCCCTATTTCAGGGGCAGAGCTGTGTGGAGTGACAATTGACAGGTAAGGGGTAAGTCTTCGGCAATTGCTCCTCAGTGGGGCAGAAGTACCCTGAGGTCACCGAGGCTTCTCTGTGAGTTGGAGTGGGCAGTCTGGAGGAGGGTGCCTGCCAGACAGGGGCCACGTCCAGGCCCTGTCGAGGCCTCGGCTGTGCAGTGCCCCACCCCCCCAGGAGGAAGCCCCTCCCTGAGCTAGTGCAGAGCAGAATAAATTCCCTGCCAGATTCTTGGAAGGATTAAAAACAAAGTATGTGAAACACCTAACACAGCGGGACCCGCGCACCTGGCCTGCAGTCGGCAGCAGAGCCACCCGGTGCCTCCCCGTCAGCCTCGAGGGCCCTGGCAAACTGCCTCCCCTCACCTCCTTGGCCTTCATCCCCTTCCCTCCTCACACCCCCTGGCTTTCTCCCTGTTCCTAAATACTGCAGGTGTGCGGTGTCTGGGGCTCCCTCTCTGCATCCGGGATCCTACCCCTTCCGGAGAGATCTTCCCTGCCTAAAACTCCACCCTGCCTTCCCCAGATTGCTGCTTCCTCCTTGAGCCTCTGCTGCCACCTGACACCCTCTCTTGCTAGCATCTGTCTCCCAGGCTGAGTTCCTGGCCTACAGAAAGGCCCCAGCACGCGCTGGCTCAGTGCATGGATGGCTGCTCAAATCATCAGTTCTGAAAGAAGGAAAAAAACCAGAACCCAAATCCCAGCACCACCTGGAAACCCAGAAAATAGTCAACATGTAGAGCCCGCTTCCATTTACAAACTCCTATGAACTATTAGCGTTGCCCCTGCCGCCACCACCACGCTGAGAGGAGATGGGGAGGGGAGGATGTACCCACTCGGTAGATACGGAGGGGGAGGCTCTGCGGATGGGCTGGGGGGCTTGGGGCTGGGTCACGCAGCTGGGCAGGGCAGAGCAGGAGAGCCCAGGCTCTGGGCTCCGGGCTTCAGGCTCTGGGCTCCGGCTCGGCGCTGCTGCACAGCTTTCTCCTTCCCACGCGGCAGCTCCTGCAGAGTGGGGACCTGGAAGTACTTAGGCTGAAGCGCTCGGTTGAAGTATTGTTCTTA